GAAGAACATTGGCATCTTGAGCCATTTTTGAAACTTATCTCCCTCGACCCTACAAAGCAATAGGTTTAGCATATGAGTCATTGTTATAGATTTAACATGATTTAACCCCTTCGACCTCACAAAGCAATACGCTCAACAGAATATGTGGGGTAAATTGTTGAAATTTCCCGCCCATCCACCCTACAAACCAATACGTTCAACACACGAACAAAGGTCAGAGACAGGGGCGTCAAAACGGACAAAGATCTCCTGTGGCAGTCGGTCAGGGGTCGTCAGGGGTCGTCAGGGGTCGTCAGGGGTCGTCAGGGGTCGTCAGGGGTCGTCAGGGGTCGTCAGGAGTCGTCAGGAGTCGTCAGGGGTCGTCAGGGGTCGTCAGGGGTCGTCAGGGGTCGTCAGGGGTCGTCAGGAGTCGTCAGGAGTCGTCAGGAGTCGTCAGGAGTCGTCAGGGGTCGTCAGGGGTCGTCAGGGGTCGTCAGGAGTCGTCAGGGGTCGTCAGGAGTCGTCAGGAGTCGTCAGGAGTCGTCAGGAGTCGTCAGGGGTCGTCAGGGGTCGTCAGGGGTCGTCAGGGTCATCAGGGGTCGTCAGGAGTCGTCAGCGATCGAGGTCGTCAGTCGTCAGGAGTCGTCAGGAGTCGTCAGCTGAAATTGGACAACTGTTGTTGCCATCTCTGAATCCAATTGTGTCCAATTTTGATCTCTAATTTTGACTGCTGCTGCTGCCTATAATAAAGCAAGAAACCAGCAGCCAGACACCTTTTTTAAAACACAGCCGAAACAGTAAAACACCACCTAATTTCGTGCCGAACATGACGCAAAATCAATCACAATAATAAGTTTTCGGGGGCCGAAACGTCCCTTCTAAAATCCTACTAGAAATCCAATTTTGTCCAATTTTGATTTCGTCCAATTTTGATTGCTGCGGCTGCTTCTATAAAAAGCAAGAAACCAGCAGCCAGACATCTTTTTCGAAACGCAGCCGAAACAGCAAAACACCACCTAATTTCGTGCCGAAAATACGCAAAATCAGTCGCAATAACAGGTTCCCCGGAAGCCGAAGCGTCCCTTCTAAAATCCTACTAGAAATCCAATTTTGTCGAATTTTGATCTCTAATTTTGACTGCTGCTGCTGCCTCTAATAAAACAAGAAACCAGCAGCCAGACACCTTTTTTAAAACACAGCCGAAACAGCAAAACACCACCTAATTTCGTGCCGAACATGACGCAAAATCAATCACAATAATAGGTTTTCGGGGGCCGAAACGTCCCTTCTGAAATCCTACTAGAAATCCAATTTTGTCCAATTTTGATTTCTAATTTTGACTGCTGCTGCTGCCTATAATAAAGCAAGAAACCAGCAGCCAGACACCTTTTTTAAAACACAGCCGAAACAGCAAAACACCACCTAATTTCGTGCCGAACATGACGCAAAATCAATCACAATAATAGGTTTTCGGGGGCCGAAACGTCCCTTCTGAAATCCTACTAGAAATCCAATTTTGTCCAATTTTGATTTCGTCCAATTTTGATTGCTGCGGCTGCTTCTATAAAAAGCAAGAAACCAGCAGCCAGACATCTTTTTCGAAACGCAGCCGAAACAGCAAAACACCACCTGATTTCGTGCCGAAAATACGCAAAATCAGTCGCAATAACAGGTTCCCCGGAAGCCGAAGCGTCCCTTCTAAAATCCTACTAGAAATCCAATTTTGTCGAATTTTGATCTCTAATTTTGACTGCTGCTGCTGCCTCTAATAAAGCAAGAAACCAGCAGCCAGACACCTTTTTTAAAACACAGCCGAAACAGCAAAACACCACCTAATTTCGTGCCGAACATGACGCAAAATCAATCACAATAATAGGTTTTCGGGGGCCGAAACGTCCCTTCTGAAATCCTACTAGAAATCCAATTTTGTCGAATTTTGATCTCTAATTTTGACTGCTGCTGCTGCCTATAATAAAGCAAGAAACCAGCAGCCAGACACCTTTTTTAAAGCACAGCCGAAACAGCAAAACACCACCTAATTTTGTGCCGAACATGACGCAAAATCAATCACAATAATAGGTTTTCGGGGGCCGAAGCGTCCCTTCTGAAATCCTACTATAGAAATCCAATTTTGTCCAATTTTGATTTCGTCCAATTTTGATTGCTGCGGCTGCTTCTATAAAAAGCAAGAAACCAGCAGCCAGACATCTTTTTCGAAACACAGCCGAAACAGCAAAACACCACCTAATTTCGTGCCGAAAATACGCAAAATCAGTCGCAATAACAGGTTCCCCGGAAGCCGAAGCGTCCCTTCTAAAATCCTACTAGAAATCCAATTTGTCGAATTTTGATCTCTAATTTTGATTGCTGCTGCTGCCTCTAATAAAGCAAGAAACCAGCAGCCAGACACCTTTTTTAAAACACAGCCGAAACAGCAAAACACCACCTAATTTCGTGCCGAACATGACGCAAAATCAATCACAATAATAGGTTTTCGGGGGCCGAAACGTCCCTTCTGAAATCCTACTAGAAATCCAATTTTGTCGAATTTTGATCTCTAATTTTGGCTGCTGCTGCTGCCTATAATAAAGCAAGAAACCAGCAGCCAGACACCTTTTTTAAAGCACAGCCGAAACAGCAAAACACCACCTAATTTTGTGCCGAACATGACGCAAAATCAATCACAATAATAGGTTTTCGGGGGCCGAAGCGTCCCTTCTGAAATCCTACTAGAAATCCAATTTTGTCCCATTTTGACTTCGTCCAATTTTGATTGCTGCGGCTGCTTCTATAAAAAGCAAGAAACCAGCAGCCAGACATCTTTTTCGAAACACAGCCGAAACAGCAAAACACCACCTAATTTCGTACCGAAAATGACACAAAATCAGTCGCAATAACAGGTTCCCCGGAAGCCGAAGCGTCCCTTCTAAAATCCTACTAGAATCAAACTTTCTCCAATGTGATCTCTAATTTTGATTGCTGCTGCTGCCTCTAATAAAGCAAGAAACCAGCAGCCAGACACCTTTTTTAAAACACAGCCGAAACAGCAAAACACCACCTAATTTCGTGCCGAACATGACGCAAAATCAATCACAATAATATGGAGCGACCCTGTGGTTCAATACTTGGAAATGATCCAATATTCAGGGTTCAGCGGCTCCGCAACCATGGCAAAATGTAAACCCCACACATTTGTCAATTTGAAGCAAGACTTCAAGGTTTAGCCAAGTGCAAAGCAAGTCTTTCTGTCACGTATATAAGGTTCAAGTCATCAAATCCAAGACTTTGCCATAGAATGTGAAGTGTGAAGCAAGCATTAACTAGCCAGGCGCTGGTTAACTGTGTACAGCTAAACACGCCCATGTGGCATCGCAAAAATTCGGAAAAAAGTGTTTTAAACTTATCAATACATTGGTTTGGACACACACATACTCTCTCTCTCTCTATATATATACACATACATCTCCAATCTCCCAGGCAAATAAAACCCCCTTCTGTGGATCATAAAAAGGTGAGATGCCATCGCCTCTTCCCAAACTATGAGCAGCCATCATGAAACCAATTTTAAATTTGGTTTACCAACTGACCCCAATAGTCTTTTAAATTCGGTTTACCAGCTAGCCGCAATAGTTTCAAACTGAACCAGCTACGTTGGGTGGATCAAACCTGTCCAGCAAGGTGCCTGGTGCATACCATACCGAGGGCTTATAGCTAAATATATATATATATATGTGTGTGTATATAATATACAATATATATATACACGTGGAATGATTGGACCATCCTGAAACCTCATGAGACAAATAAAGTGGACTTAGCCTGTGGACTGGGAAGTGGGGTGCCATCAAATCACACTTAGATTGTTTTAGCCAAATTTGGTGACTTTGAAACGACAAGACCAAACACAAAATCAAAGGTTAAAAGCTGCTGGGGCCTGTTAAGGGTTTTGGTATTTCCATAACTGCTGTGAGAGTTTGTCCGGGAATTACTATTATGGGCTGCCATCTCTACTAAGTATGTTGTTGGGGATAGCTACAACCATGATTTGGGCCTGTCCATCGAATTTGATACAGCAATTTAAGACTTAAGATGGATATCCATGGTGACATGTTGCATTCCCATGAATTTTTACTCGCAAATGGGGAACCGAATCCATCTCATTCCTGGAAAGGGACTTAAGATATATGATCATTTACATATGCGTATCAATATTTACAGACAAAGTGGGGACCCCTGGATAGCTAAGTTGGTTAATAACTCCAATAACTATGGTTTATGGTAGATATAACTACAATTAATAGGGTTTATAAACCATCTTATAAACCATCTTGGTATTTTTATTGACCATGATATGATCTAAATATACCAATTTAAAAAGGCAGATAGATAGATAGATAGATAGATAGATAGATATATCTATATGTATGTTTGTTTATTTAGATATGGATTTTTGATAAACTGATATTGTGCCGATATTGATTCTCATACACTGATACATCAATATATATATACATACATTATATTTCTTATCTATTGTTACTGCTTTACTGATAATATATATATATGTATATATGTAAATGATTTTATCTCTCTTTCATTGGTGTGGTTCTGGCAAAACCCGCATTGCCAACTCTGGCTTGGAGCAAATCACAACAGAATCCCGCATTTTTTTGATGGAACCCTGGAAAACATTATAGATAGATAATCATAATCATATCATGGGAACCTTGGACTACATGAAATTTGATGTATGAAACATTGTAGAACCCAAGATCTGGTTTCCAGAGACCTGGAAGGTGGTCTCCATATCCACCTGACGCAGGGGCAAAACAAAGTTGGGTGACAACTCAAAAAGATAAACATAGGTTGAGAAGAAATGTGGAAATTTTCAATGTGTTAATCTACCATCATTTTTTCAACTAGGACAGATCGCATCTTGCAAGCCATGCGCTGCTGGATTTTCACTGGCTGGGCGATGAGCTGGTGAGAGCTACCTGCGTCATGTTCCTAAGCTGCATTCTCTAGGGTCCTGCCCCATCAAAATCTGGAATGGGGCGACCTTCCGAAATGCAAGATCGCATTTCTTCAATAATGCTTCCCCGGACCACCAACACCTCGGACTCGGGCTTGCCATCGTGCAGCAACTCAAGTAGGACCCTGCATGCCCTGGCATTCTGATCATAGGTGGCACCCTTCACAGCAACCTGATCCATGTCTGGGGATGCTAAGATATAAAAACATACAACCATATTCCATTTAAACAATCAAATAAAACAAAAACAGTTATAGAGTAGATTGTTGAAACCAGAAACTTGGCAGACTTGTTTCTTCCCATTTTCATCATATCGAAGAATAGCACTTGAGCCTTTCTTCTGCATGGGGGCAAAACGATACTTCATGGTCAGGTCCGGGTTCCCATCAGAATCCAAACTGGCCGCAGTGCGGGGCTTCTTCTCGTTCTTGTTCTTGGGGTCAGGGATATTACCACCATAGGTCTCTCCAAAAGCAACGGATGCCGCAGGGCGCTTTAAAGCTGGTCTTTTTTTGGCAGCTCCTGGCCAGCCCGCAATTTCCACCCGACAAAATTATGTAAAACGCCCTGGTGCTTGTGGGGGTACATCCCATGATAAACAGATGTCATAGTTATATCTCTCCATTGTTTATGAAAAACAGATGTCATAATTATATCTCTTCACTGTTTGGTGGTACATCCCATGAAAAACAGATGTCATAATTATATCTCTCCACTGTTTGGGGGTACATCCCATGAAAAACAGATGTCATAATTATATCTCTCCACTGTTTGGGGGTACATCCCATGAAAAACAGATGTCGTAATTATTATTATATCTCTCCACTGTTTGGGGGTACATCCCATGAAAAACAGATGTCACAATTATATCTCTCCACTGTCTGGGGGTACATCCCATGAACAAATCTGTAATACCTCCCCTGTTTGGGGTTCCTCCCATATGAAATGATCAACTGTGTGATATATCTCCTGGCTGGGATTCACCCAACAATGGTTTATGAAATATGTTTCCCCACTGCAAATATGGTGTGAACAACTTTGCAATATGGTATGATCCCAAAATGCAGCACCTGCATCAGACTTTGAGGCTCTTGGGGCAGCTGCTGCACTGGAAGATGCAGGGCGCTTCGGTTTGGCTGGTGTCTTTGGCGATGGAATTGGCATGGTGGGCTTTGGAGGGGTGGCATCCTCAACACCACCAGGGAGCTCTTGAGTAGGAGCATCTAAGTCACTGTCACTCAAGGCATCAACAGTATTGACATGGGAGGCCATGGTGCCCCAAAGGCAATCCAAAACTATCAAGCTTTTTCAGCCAAAACACCCTGTGGGTTTCCAGATGATGGTTTTACAAAAATCCAACTGGGGAACCAATCCAACTAGAGCGGCTTCACATCTTCCACAAAGCTTTGAACCTGTTTTTCACAGAATGGTCGCAAATCGATGGAACCACAAAGAGTTGTGTGGCCGCATCATTTTTTCACACATGCCACTGCATCCAGGAATCAAAACTTAGGGAACAGGTGCTGACGTGGTTCCCGTTTTTCTTTTGTGGGCCCCGTGAATTTCCAGGTCATGAGCTGACACTAATCTTTTTGGGGATCTTTTTTGGGGACTTTTGGCAAAACACCTCACAGTTCCCACAACGCAAGCATCAGTCCTCTGAGTGACCTATATCTCTAGGTTGCACGTGTTCACACGTGTTGATGGCAAGAAAACCCATGGGAAAAAGTGAACCGTGCTTGAATCGAAGAATTGGGGGTTTATGAACTGATATGATCAAAATATATCTTCCACAGGTTCCTTAGCCGTCTCATTCCAACTTGTAAAACATGTTGGGCTCCAAAGTTGCAGAGGAAACAAGGTAAAGTTTGGGTTTCGATGGCTTCAGAGCAGCAGGTGGCTCTGGCTTGATCACTGCATCCCAAACAATTGAAGCATGATGAAAAGATGTAACTTTGGACAGCCTACCCAAAAATGCTGCTCCTGCAGCAGCCCGTTTCAGAACACCTGATGCCATCATAGCATCCGAGAGCGTAGAGGGGGCAGAGTACATTGCACCACCCATGTTCACTTGAACAGTGCACCGCATGAAAGCTTCCACTTCCTGTGAATCCTGAAAAGGAAAGCAGCTATATTAACTGGTTGGCAAAGCAACTCACTGGTTGGGAAAAAATCTCTCACTTTGAACATTTTGAACACATTTGTAAATCCAGTCCTTGACCACTTTCATGGGCTCCACCACATGTCCCAAAATGCCAAGGTCAGGCACATTGGATTGGAAGGCCTTAAAGCGCACCTCGGCCACCGACATGAGAGTCCTGGAATCCGCTTCTTGAAGGGCAACACGTTGGACATCGGTCTTCACATGCCATGGGATGACATTCTCTGTGTCCAGGGACGCATCTACAGGGTGAGACCCCCAACCCATGGTGATTTGGAGTGAACAGAAAAGGGTATTTATAAGTCTTTCACCCATGTACACACATATATATATATATATTACTATATAGACGGATTTATAACCACACACGCATATATATATATATATAATATGTTATATATTCATGTACATGCATTTACTGATGTGCATACATGTGTGTTTAAAGCACCTCTGAACTGAAAGTGAATGGTATTCTTTAGATAGGGTCCCAGAATGATACTTATCCTGGCTATCTGTGGTATTTTTCAAATAAGGTTTGTATCCTTGTGCATTTATGACTGTTCATCAAAGCTGACACATGTAGATTCAAATTTGGATTACATCACCCCCCAAAGTCTTGGGATGGGGATTGGATTGGGTAAACCGGCACACCTGATCTTTGAATTTCACCAACATTGAACCCCAAAAGCTCGCATGGTGACAAAGCCAGGGAGGCAAGGTTCTTGTGAGGGCCATCCACATCCATAGCCATGTAGATTGAGTAGTCTTTGCAAATGTAGAGGGCCGGCAATTTTGGAACTGCTTTCACTTGGAACAACCTGAGCCAGGAAAACTTGTTGGATGGGGAACAAAGGAGATTTCAGATAGATAGATAGATGGATGGATGGATGGATAGATAGATAAATGGGTAGGTAGATAGATAGATAGATAGATAGATAGATAGGTAGGTAGGTAGACAGACAGACAGACAGACAGATAGATAGATAGATAGATAGATAGATAGATAGTTTGGTTAGACGGATAGACAGATAGGTAGATAGATAGATAGATAGATAGGTAGGTAGATAGGTGTATGGTAGATAGGTGTATGGTTGAAAAATGCACCCCCAATTCTGATAAAAACCAATCAAATAGAAACCAAAAGAAAACTAGGGGTGAAACAAGAAGATAAACATTGAAACACCAGGGGATGAAAGAAACAACTGCTTGTTAGAAAGGGCAAGCGACACATCATCCATTTTGAACTCTGCCTTTGGAACAGCAGTGAACATCGCGGTGCCAATGGTTGCCAAAGCTGGCTCCACTGAGAAGTCTGGCCCTGCCATGCTTGAAGTCGCACTTGCATCAGAAGAGCCACTGATGGGCCTCTGAACCAAAGGGCTGATCACATTGGAGATGAATTGGCGAAACTCTGCCACTTTGCCATTCCAACGGTTGCTATACACATCGTCACCATCAAATTTGTTGACCACCACATCGCTCAGGCATGGGGATTCAGACTCCCAACTGGCAAGACTGAGGACAGGCTTGTCTACTGGGCTTCCATCTGTTGGCTCAGGAGGGCCTGCTTCAGGCGACCGATTCCAAAATTCATCCATCAGTGTGGCCTCAAGGTGGCCCTGAATGGTTTTCTGGATGGTAAGGTCACGGCTGAAACCTGCATAGTGGATTGCAGGCTTGCCACCTTGTGATTGCCATGCTTGGCGTGCCTGCCAGCAGCCTTCCATCCAGTCAGGAACAGCCATCTGCTGCAACTCCACCACATCAAGCCGTGTGCTGGGGCTGGTCTGCATCCCCTCGAGCAAGGCCTCCAAGATCCTCAAAACTGCTTTCGATCCCTTGTGCTGGGTCCGCTCTGCTGGAGAAAGATTCCAAGCCTCAACACAATCTGTGTGGGACCCTGGCTGAAGCAACCGCTTCATTTCCTTGATTCTCAGCAATGGTATGTCGTTGATCTTGCCCCTGCTGGCTATGGATTGCATCCATGGAGAAGGGGTTGCCTCATTGGAGACAGTCTCGTTGAAGCAGAGTCTTGCACGTGCACTCAAGTTCCGCTTGTCATTTGCATGCATGCCGTCCACATTGTAGTGCAAAGCAATCTCGACATCGAAGTTGGCTTGGCAGCCGATAAGCATGTCCTCGATTCTGCGGCTGGCAGCCAGAGTGGCCTGAGAACTCTGCCCACTGTACTTCTTGAGGTAGATGATGAGCAAGCAATTGCGAATGTCTTGGTGAAGGGTGTTGCAAGCACATTGCACCAAAGCATCAATCTCCGGGAGGCCTGGGGGAGCACTGAAGTCCAGCACCAGAAGCAAAAGCCTGCATTGGTGGCTAGAGTCGGCTAGAGATACCAATTTGAAAAAAAAACATTTTCAAAAAATTACCCCATCAAGGGGTAATTTTTTGGGAGCCCCTTTGATGCGACATGGAAACAATGAGATCATCCTGACTTAAACTCAAAGTTTTTTATATGACTGGGTTACCACAAGTCAGTTAAAGAAACAAACCTAAACCAAGAAACTTGTCCTCAGACCCAGTGGGGCGAGCAGAATCAGCAGCAGTGCGAAATGCTGCAAGCTCCATCTCAAGGCACTCGATATTGGCCGTTTTGCACCGGAATGAATGGGAAGCCAACTCCCGAACAGCAACCAACCCCTTGACATAGCGCTTCCTCTTGTGAGTGAGCACAGCTGAGTTCCAGTTCCTCTTCCGTTCATCCTCCACAGAAGCCCACTTTTTCAGAGCAGCAGTGTCAGATTGGAGGTCATCTTCCATCTTCTGAAAGGTGGCAGTCTGCACTTGAAGCTGCAAAGCTTGCGCACGCTCCACCGCCTCCTGTCAGGCAGAAATGTGAAAGGAACTTGTTATCAGGTGCAAAAAGACACGTATCTTAAAGGTTTTTATAGACAAATTTGAAACCACCAGGCCTTCTCAATGCTGCTTTGCTGCTCCACCAAGAGCTTCTGGATCTCTGGCGCTGCAGACAGTGGAATCTCAGCAGGGCACTCTTCAGTCATCGTAAAGAGCCATTGGTCAAAGATCTTCTTCTCAAAGAGAGCTTTCAACTTCGGCAGCTCTGCTTCAACACATTTCTGCGGAAGCTGGGAAGAAAACTTCTCCATCACAACTTCCCAGCACCTGGTGATCCGACACATCCTTTGGACCTCCACAGGGCCAGCAGGCTTCCTGAGGCCAGCAGGTGCAGCACGAAAGTCTTCCACAATGCGGCTAGCCGCCAAGATCAGAGATGATGATGTGTTCCTCAATCTCTGGGCCCATTCTGGGGCAATGACTTCAGGCTCAGCTCCAAGGCGAAAAGTTGGGCAACCAATCCCACCATGAGTGATGGGGCCACGAATGATGCCAAACTCAGAGACAGCAACCGCAAAGATGTCTTTGACTGTGGCCGGGAGGTAGCTCACTAGGTTCTGCACAGCAGCACCTTCAGCTTGGGACAAGCCAAAGATTGCCTTCAAAGACTTGGCCGACTGCAGTTGGCCCATTGCTAGCTCCAAAGTCTCTCCATGCTTCAAGCGCCGCTGCAGCTGGTGCAATGCTGTGAAACAGTTGGGCTTGGAACGTGTGCTGATAGAAGCCATAGTCAGTTCTTAGTATGGTGAGTAAAGAAAATCGATAACTGACACCAAACACAATATATAATATAACACATCATTTCATGTTGGGAGGCTGGTTTCCGATAAAAGGTTATTGGGGAACCCTTATTGTAATACTTTTTGGGGGGAGTGTCAGAAATACCATAGGATAAAGAAAATAACATATATATATATATTTATATAGACCTATATGTAATTGACCTTTCTACATATATATATATATAGGTTAAAGTTGATGCTGAAGCTCAACCAAAGTAACCCCTGTTGGCCCTGATGCGGTCAATCTCACTCCCAGCAGTTTCCACCACCATCCCCTTCAAGAGGCAAAAGGATTGGAATTGGGAAGGCATCTTGTCACGATACTCCTCAACCAAGCCATGCTTTTGAAGAAGGTAGGCAGCAGTCAGGAAACAAATTGCCCTGCTCCACCCCTTGGTGAATCCCAAGCTTTGACACTGGTATGTCCCGGGGATGATATCATCACAAAGCCACTCTTGGTCGAAGTAAGTAGCAATGAGAGGTTGTAGGACAGGGAACTCCACCCCTGCACACCGGGTGGCATCAGTCCGGCATCCTTGCACCAACACCAGCTGCACCAGGTTGCGAGTGTACTCCGCAAGCAGCAGCCCCTTGTTGCCTGCCTGAACATGAAAGCATCCTTGCCACACAGCCCAATTTTTGATTCCCGGGGAGAGGTCAGTGGAAAGGCAAACTCCATCAGGAACTGGAAAGGCTTCGAGCAAATCCTGAGCTAGTTTTTTTCGGGAATCCAGGTCTGGGAACTCCTTGACAAAGAAGGTTGCTAGGCTAGTGTGTTTGGACATCATCTCATCAAGATCATTCATGACAGTGGGCCACCATTCTAGGTGTGAGATCTGATCTCGTTCAGCATCGGTTAGCTCTGGCAATCCATCATCAGACTTGGGCTTCTTCGCCCCTCGGCCTGAGGTGCTCCCATTGCTGGGCCGCTTGGGCATGGCTGTCAAAGCCACGCTGAAACTTGGGCACTGCAATCTGCTGGGTCGGATGGCAGTTGCAAGATTTCTGACATGAAATCTGGGAAAGAAATCAATTTCATGATGAGCCCCAAGTTAAGTACAGGAAGTATTTTTGATGAACAATCCCATGTCTGATATATAGTAAGATTCTTCAGAAACAGCATCTTGACAAAACAGCTCCGTTTCCGATGAATCCCAATAGGATTCCTCAGAAACAGCATCTTGACAAAACAGCTCCGTTTCCGAGGAATCCCAATGGGATTCCTCAGAAACAGCATCTCTCTTCAGGGGTCATCCTCAGAAACCCCAGTGTAGTAGAAACAGAAATCTTCTGTAACTTAATGCCGTTTCCGAGGAATCCCATTGGGATTCCTCAGGAACGGTGTGTTTTCAGTGGATCATGGGATCCGATGGATCTTGACATTGGCCATCCCAAATCCGAGGAGCATAATTGTATCAATGTTCTTTTTCCGAGGAGGTATAAGGGGTGCTCCGATGTTTTCCGAGTAGGGTGTGGAAATAATTACCCCAAATCCGAGCATCAAAAACACATCTTAAGATATTTTCCGAGGAGGTACTGGGGGTGATCCTATGTTTTCCGAGGAGGTGTTGGAAATGATTACCCCAAATCCGAGCATCAAAATTGCCCCTAAAGATATTTCCCGAGGAAGTATTGGGGATGATTGCCCGGAAACCAAGTACACAGCTGTTGGCATATTTCCCATAATCTGAATACCAAATGGTTACCATCTTTTCCCATAATCTGAATATCAAATGGTTACCATCTTTTCCCAAAATCTGAATATCACATGGTCACCATCTTTTCCCAGAATCTGAATATTAAATGGTTAACAAAGAACGGGATTGGACATACTTTAAGATTCCCCAGTGCCCCAGATTCCCTAAATATAACCCAATACTTTCGGGAAAGTTCCTGGGTTCCCCACATATTTTTTGAAAGATGCATTGCGCGCATCTTTCAAACATGATTGCAGCATCACCCGAATGCAGCCTCCGACAATCTCAAAATAAGATATCATGAGAATCATGTGATCAGATTTGAATCAGACTTCTCCCCACCAAAAACTTCAAGAAACATTACTCGAATTGATGACAATGCGATTGTGACTAAACTCGCTCTGCTTGGTTTTAACCCCGGGGCAGCTCGAATATCCAAAGTCAGGTTCGCTGTCGAATTTCAAATCAAAAATGTGACCTGATACGAATTGGAATCAAAAACCAGTCTACTTAATACCCTGCAGCGACTGCAGCATGGTGTCTACGTCCTGCAGCATCTTCCTAGGTTTCATCAGAGCTGCACGAGCACTAGCAGGCATTCTGCCCTGGCCCTGGATGAGCAGCTTGCTCAAGCATCCCCTGCAGATCCTTAGCTCACGAAGAAGCTGCTCAGCTCGGGGGTGGCGAGAAAGTGCATAAACAGGCCACGCACCACACGACACCGGGGCAAGATCATTCACCCCAAGGGGGAAATCTTTGGGTGATTTGTCGCTCAGTCGGGCATAGCTGGCTTTGGCAAAAGCTACCAACATCTCTTCCCATGCTAACTTGCAGTAACCACTACCACAATGGGTATCATCATCCACGCCTTCTAAGATGTTTCTGCTGATTTCCTTGCTGCATTCAAGCTCGTTTTCCGAAAAGCGCACATGGCAAAGCATATCAGCAAGGATTGAAGGATGAGTAGCATCCGAGGCTAGCTCTACCGATTGGGAAGCCATAGCCACCTAGTGACTTTCTTTTCACTTTGATACTAGATGGCTTTCTGAAACAAGGTTTGGCATTTCGGTTCATTTCAACATGCTCAGCAAACAAAGGCCACAACTATTTGGCATTTCGCTTGATTTAAACTACTTCAAAGACAGATTCTTTTCAGCCTCTCACACGCGTAGTGTCATCATTTTCCACGCGAGCGACAATGCTTTGCAATGGTTGCTACCTGCTTTCTAGATACCCCAAATGGAGCTCCATCATACTTTGCTTTGAACGTTTGGGGGGCTTAGTAAACCCAATTGAATCTGTTCTAAATTCGAAGTACAACATGTTTAGGATGAAATTCAAAGATAAGGTTTTGTGATATTGATTCGATGGTTCTTTCATACACACCCCAAAAAACAAATTGAAGGGAGCTCCCAACCCCAAATTTTGTTTAGGGATCAATGGCCCGGACCAAATGGGATCCTGCAGCCTCAACCCACTCCAAAACCAATTGATTTGGGTAGCGCGCCGTCCCTTTGGTGGGGCGCTTAGATCCACTACCCCATCCACTTAAAGTTTGATGCTCATGACCACCCTGGCACATCTTTCCAATCGGGGTCAAGAAACAAGCACCCTCTTGCAAAGGAAACTGGTGAAACTGGCATGAAAGGATGCGGGTTCTCTTCCGGTAGAGCATGCCATATCGGCAATAGTCGCAATCGGTGTAGTTCCAGTAGGCCGTGTCCTGGAAGGGGATGTGAAAACATGTTTCCCCAACCCTTCCAAAACCATCTCCAAAAACAAGTTTGGTTGCCCAGCAAGATTTTTTGAATGTCCCACCTGAAGAACCATTTCATGGATTTCTGGGATGCTCCACAAGCATGACGAATGAGGGTTCTCAATCGACACACGAACCCCATGCTTTGCCAGCCACATCGCTAACTTGATGGTGTTCTGGATGATCTTGTTGGATAAGATGATGGCGGGATGCTTCAAGAAGACGGGCAACCCCCAGGGATGGCTTTTCGACCTACAGTGGGAAATTCCATACATGGGAAATAAGACAAAACGAATGTATGTGTGGGCCCTCTATTGAATAACATTGGGATAACCAAAAAAAATATTGTAACTCGCACCCATTTGAATTCCAAAAAAAGATAGGAATGATCTTTATTTGGTTTATGAGTTTTTCTACAGGTTTACCCCAGGCCTCAACTTTGGGAAACGAGCATTCGAGAACGTGTTGCATGGCGGTGCAAAGTGCACATAGTGGTACATCAGCAACTTGTTCTTCAATGACTCCACCACTTCATCATTGCTGATATCATGAAGGATACCACCCCGGGTGTAGTCAATGGCGAGGCTATGGAATCCCCTCCTTTGGAACTCAGTGCTCAGAGCACCTTCCCCCGAAAAGACTTCAGCAAACCGAAGTGGTTCCTTCCTCCCCATTACACCATTCATGAGGTCAAAGGTGTAGGGGTGAATGGTCGACACTGGGGATGTTTGATCTTCACCCTCGCTGTCACTCAGGACAGGGTCGAAATCTTTCTGGCACTTCTGGCGACGAAGCGGTGGCCGCTCAGATTCGCTGTCACTCAGCTGGCGAGAGGAGGAAGCCATGACGGATTGGTGGCTTGCTACTGCTATGATCCCCAAAAATCCTGCCATGAGCAATTCCGCAAGTTGTTTTACAAATTGTTCAGGTAGTGTTCCAATTCATTTTTTTGATCAACGATATGTTTCAGAATCATGTTTTCAACTCCACTCACATGAAGTCAACATATCAACATGGGTGCCGCATCTCCATTGATTTGTTTAAGGCCCTTTCGGGTACATGTCAAGTGTCTATTGCAGATCCCAGGAATCAGAAACTGACACCGAGGCACAGCAACTGTAGTTGTCATACATTGTAGTTGTCATTTAACAACGAGAAAACAGAAACAACGAAACACTTAGAACTTTTTGGGATGGTTGTGATTTTGGCTGGCCTGTCCCGGTGTTCATCTCAAAAATCATCCTGGATTTCAAGCGGTTCTGCTAGATTATCTTCAGGGGGCAGGCTGGGTTCCCCACCCTCATCCCCCCCTTCCCCATCTGCCACCACTTCATTTGAAGTGGCAGCGCGGCTTGAAATTTGTGGGGGACCGGCAAAAGCTTGCCGTAATGAAACACTAAGTTTGCCCCACATGACATATGCCTGTTTATAAGATTCAGCCCAACCAACACCTTGGTTTCGAAAGGATTGGGCCATACCAATGATGATCTCCATTTTCGGAGTCATCCCGCCCACAGGTGAAGGTTGACCTCTGGCAATGCCACCATTCTCTACACGCACCTGGGTGACACTTGGCTCCAAAGCCACAACTGCAGCGCTTTGACCCACTTGGTGGGGAAAAACTGTAGGAGTGGACACAATGAATGAAACATCAAGGGGGGGCGCCAGTTGTTGGGTCTCTGTCACCCATGCCCTCAGATAGGCAGCAGCTGATCGCATTTGGAATGGTTGGCTTTCAACAGCATCAGCAAGTCCCTGGATCATCTTGATATACTTTGCAGGCTTTTGTCTCCGGGGTAGATAGCCTTCAAAGTGCAAAGTGAAAACCAAATGAAATCTCAACAGAATGTATTCTAGTTGGACTGTTTTCTGAACATCCCCCTTCAAAAAATGAAATCAAACCAGTATGGACTTCTCTGATTGAAATTTGTTCTGAACATATTTCCAAACTTATGTTTCCACCCCATCCTTCGGGCATAGTTCCTGGCAGTTTCGCCACATCTTCAGGAGAGATGTAAGTGAGCCGAGCGCAGAACGCAGAATCTGACATCCATTGCTTGCACCTGCAATTTGAGAAGAACCCTTGAAGCATCCTTAACCCACTTAACTTTGGGAACCCAATTAACTTTGGGAAAGCAAAAATCAAAACATCCTGAACCCAGTTAAATTTGGACTTGGGGGAAAAACAAATCAAATCACCAAAGCCAGTGTAAGCAATGGAGGCACTGCAGGATAACGTCGGAGCCGCTGCCCTGTGCACGAAGATGATCCTCTGAAGACAAACCTGGTTGCCCACATAGTGTATTTCCATGTGAAATATTTACATCCATAGAAACACATTTTTTCAAATACATATATCAAGCAGTGTAAATGCACAGTATATATATATATGCATGTATATCTATAAATACATACATGGATGCACACATACATATTATTTGTGCAATTCATTCCCAAAAGACGATGTTGAAAGATTTGAAATAGTTAAGTCGAGAAGCTGTCTCGTCGCACAAATTGAAACACATGTGGTGCCGAAGGGCCCAACAAGCCAACAATTCTCCGGCCCATGTGTGACAACCAGGTTTTCCAATCACGCACGCGATCAAGCTTGAAGCACAGTTTCAGTGGCTCATGCGGCCGCATGCCGCCATCGGCAAAGAAGCTCCGGTTGATGGCATCAACAAGCTGCTGAGGTGTTTCAGCGTTTGGGACAGATCTCAACATCCAACCTCAAGCTGGGAAGTGCTAACTCCTGGCAAAAGATGGAATGTTGTTTTCTTGGAAAATATGTTTACTCGTTTTTTGGGCCAAGATACGGTTCACTGACCCGAACCACTGGTCAACATCCTTCAGGGGTTACAGTAGGGGTATGATTTGGTTGATTGCATTTGAATTTCCAAACATGTGAACATACCCTTGAAAATTTACAACTTATGGGCCACCCATCGCCTCGTGTGTGTGACCTGTTCTGAGAAAGGAGAGGCGCATGGCCTTCACCAGTTTTCTTTGGGTCAGTAATCCAGAGAGTAAGGCTAGACTATTATTCTTGTTGCTGGATGTGGTGTTATCCAGTTGGACAACACACTCATACTCCCCGAGCTGAACGCCATGCTTTTTCAGGAGCGAAAGCATGAACAGAATCAACTCAGCGCTTGTAGAGCCTCCCTTTGACATGTCAGCATCAGAAACTGACAGCACCGCCATGTATCCATGGCATAGGAGACCCCAAACATGTAAACGAGGCCGCGTATATTTGTCAAAGAGGTGGTTTTCCAACAATTTACTTCTGGGTGTAGCATACTTGCCTTGGTCCATACCATCTAGTATACATACTATCATTTTTTCTTTCAACCTCGAAGATGCTCTCATTGTCCAATAGGCCTTTCTGTCTGCAAATTGCTGTGCAAGATGTCTATCATAGAGGTGACGCTGTCGAAGGCAGGCTCGAGTGTCAGCACCGAAGCCACGCAGAAGCAGCTTGTGCTGCACGCAAGTGGGGCAGACTGAAAAAACATATCGGTCTCTGAAAGCCAACTTGTGGCTGAACTCAGTTTTGAAACACTGATAGAAGCAATGCCAGCTTGCTTTCTGACCAGTAGTGGCATTGTATTGCCTCCATAAATCAAACATTGTCCCCGGTGGTAAATATCGAAGGTCTCCACCAGATTTCGGTTCAGGATGATAAGCATCTTCGTCATCCGACAAAATTTGGATATCCTGTTTTTCTAGTTTCTGACTTTTCCTTTCATCCAAAGGCAGTGTCTCTGCCACTGACAGGTACAAATTTTCCAAGTACGAGTAGACTTCAGAAAAAACAGGTCTGGGGTCATTGCATTTCCTGCTTTGGTATCGAACATCCACTGGTGCACATCGGTCCCCTTTTAAAACTGATTTCAACAAAGTGGATAGCCTGGGGCTCCATCCCACACCCATCAAAGTAGCAAGCCCTCCACGGCAAACGCGTTCACCTAAGAAGATGTAGCTCAGCTTGGCATTGGAGACTGGTAAGCTATCCATAGTTTGAGGTTGGATCAATTGCTGGCTGAGCGCTAGATCTCGAAGGTAGTCAAACAACTTGGCAGGGGCACTGCAGCATTGCCCAAATCAAACCCAAATTGGAGGTTATAAAGCACACCAAATTAAATTTCAGGTTTGGGTTGATGGGATGGATCAAGATTCAAATTTATGGGAAACAATCCTTCAAATTGATGAGCAGCATGATGAGAAACATGGGAAAATGGGTACCCATATTACTGAAAACAAAAATCAAGTTACTAGTCGATCCTGATCCAACTTGTGCAGCTCTTTGAACGCAGTCCTCCAGTCTCTAAGACGTCCAAAAAGAGGCATAGCACTAAATTTCCAGAGGCATGAAGGCTTATCTCCCTTGGGGCTTTGCTGTTTGCAGAGACAATCCCCCCCAAGCTGTTCACGCAAAGTATCCAAATCATCCACTGGCAGGGATCGTTTCTTCTTACTCGGAGCAGGTCCTGTGACCAAAGGATAGTACACAAGTGAAAAAACCATAGAAAACCAGGTGGATTTCCCATTTAAGTTTGAAATGGTGAAAATGAAAAACAACATATATTTGGGTTCAGCCACCTTCTGCCTCCGAATCCGACAGCTCCATGGCTTAGCCAGGTGTGAGCGCTTTTGAGTTGGGAAAAAACGGGACATGAAAGCATGGGTCACCCACTTACCATCCCAATTTTTGGTTGGTTCATGGATTTCATTTCCCTGTTCCACCAAATGGCTATCCATAAAGGCAATTTTAATCACCATCCACCTATAGTTCATTAACTTTATCACCTGTCTTGACTATAAACTTGTAAGAAACCATATTTAGTAGTAAAATATCCCTTCAACTATTGGTCACTTCTTTCCACCACCACACCAAGCACCCAGTAGGGGGCATGGGGCGCACCCACACTTCAGTGGGTGGATATGAAGACCACCTTGTTGTGTCTGAGGTTTGCACCTGCAGTATCATGGGCAATGATAAGGTTTTTCCAAAAGATCGGATTCCTAAAGTAAGGAAGGGTACAAGAACCAACTGTATATATCAGGATGCCCCATAATAATTTGAGTTTCGTCACCAACTCTGGGTCATTTGTGGGGAAAATCCAAGAATCCAACCCCGAAGGTACCGAATAGGGTGCACAACTTAACCAAAAATGCACAGCTAAATTTGGTGATTAAAAACCATTGTGCGAAGGGCAATTATAATTTTGGGAGGTGCGTACATTCATCTGGCATAACATTTATGGTAACTTCCAATTCTTGTCGGGGTGGTTCGGGGATGTGATCCACATAAACCTTTGAAACCAAGTTTTCCCCTATGTGCTGTTGGCATAGTAGCTGGGAAGGGTTCAATTTAAAAATGATTGACTACCACCTCGATAAGCATGAGCTGGAAACCCATCTCGGTATTGGAAACTGGTTTGTAGCCAGTTGAAAAAGTGAATAAGTCAACGCTTAGCATATATATATACAAAGCACAAAAATCAATTGGCAAATATGTATGAATGTGTGTTCCCTCAGCACCTGAAAGTATGTATGTATTTGCACCTGTATGTATCTGTATGTATCTGTATGTATCTGTATGTATATCTGTATGTATATCTGTATGTAGGTCTGTCTGTCTGTCTGTCTGTCTGCATGTATGTATGTATGTATGTATGCATTCATGTTTGTATGTTCGTATGCAATGTCTGTACTATGTAATGTATGAAGTGCATGTAATGTATGTAGTGTATGTAATGTAGGTAACGTATGTAATTTATGCATGTATGTAAATAAATTCGTATGTATGAAGGAAGGAAGGAAGGACGGAAGGAAGGAAGGAAGGAATGGATGAATGAATGGATAAATGAATGTATGTAGTTATGTAGTTACGTATGCCTTGAAACATGCTATGTATCTATGTATCTAGGTATCTCTGTATCTCTATATCTATATACCTATATATCTATATATTTCTTTACCTATGTATCTATGCATGTATGTATGTATGTATGTAGGTCATGGTATGTCATGGTATTCATGCATGTATGTATGTATGGCATGGTACGCAGGTGGGTAAGCACATATGTGTATGTATCTGTGTATCTTGTGCATGTATTAACTGTAAAATTGTACATATGTATGTTTGCATGTATCCATTTTTGGTAGTAAATGTCAATGGTAGTAATCTGGTAGTATGCATGTCATGATATGTATATCAAACATTGACAAGGTATGTGACTCATTTATGTATGTATGTATGTATGTACGTATCTATCTATCTGTATGTATCTGTATGTATCTGTATGTATCTGTATGTATATGTATGTATATTTGTATGTATATCTGTATGTATGTTCTGTCTGCCTGTCTGTCTGTCTGTCTGTCTGCATGTATGTATGTATGTATGTATGTTTGTTTGTTTGTTTGTATCTACGTACGTCTGTATTTAAAAAGCCAAGGCAGGGGAAACCAACTTGACTAACCTGTTTTTCCAAAGTGTTGTCAGGAACCCTTTTGCTCAAATGTGTTTGAATCCATGAGACTAGGATAGGTTGGCTCAAGGCCTTTGAACCCTTCTCAACTGTCCACCTTTTGAGCAAGCTCATCAGGACAAACGTGACAAGCTAAAAGTACTGGCCAAGTCAGACAAACTAGGTAGCAAAAAAAGCCAAGCATTGAACCATTCCCAAATATTGAATCACAGGGTCAGGCCATTAATAGGTTTTCGGGGGCCGAAACGTCCCTTCTGAAATCCTACTAGAAATCCAATTTGTCCAATTTTGATCTCTAATTTTGACTGCTGCTGCTGCCTATAATAAAGCAAGAAACCAGCAGCCAGACACCTTTTTTAAAACACAGCCGAAACAGCAAAAAACCACCTAATTTCGTGCCGAACATGACGCAAAATCAATCACAATAATAGGTTTTCGGGGGCCGAAACGTCCCTTCTGAAATTCTACTAGAAATCCAATTTTGTCGAATTTTGATCTCTAATTTTGACTGCTGCTGCTGCCTATAATAAAGCAAGAAACCAGCAGCCAGACACCTTTTTTAAAACACAGCCGAAACAGCAAAACACCACCTAATTTCGTGCCGAACATGACGCAAAATCAATCACAATAATAGGTTTTCGGGGGCCGAAACGTCCCTTCTAAAATCCTACTAGAAATCCAATTTTGTCCCATTTTGACTTCGTCCAATTTTGATTGCTGCGGCTGCTTCTATAAAAAGCAAGAAACCAGCAGCCAGACATCTTTTTCGAAACACAGCCGAAACAGCAAAACACCACCTAATTTCGTGCCGAAAATACGCAAAATCAGTCGCAATAACAGGTGCCCCGGAAGCCGAAGCGTCCCTTCTGAAATCCTACTGGAAATGGTTCCCCGGAGGCCGAAACGCCCCTTCTGGAATCCTACTAGAAATCCAATTTTGCCCAATTTTGATCTCCAATTTTGATTGCTGCTGCTGCCTCTAATAAAGCAAGAAACCAGTAGGAAAACAGCGTCGAAAAAATCAGCTCCCGGCACGAAAAACACCATGGCTCTGAAGTAGTAGTAGTAGTAGTAGTAGTGGTAGTGGTAGTGGTAGTGGTAGTGGTAGTGGTAGTGGTAGTGGTAGTGGTAGTGGTAGTAGTAGTAGTAGTAGTAGTCCTGCTGCTCGCTGCGAATGTGCTGGTGGCTGCTCCTACTGCTGCTGTGGTGCTGCTGCAATCAAACAGCTTCCAAAGCAGTGTTGGTGTTGGTGTTGGTGTAGTAGTAGTAGTAATAATAGTAGTAGTAGTAGTAGCAGTAGTAGTAGTAGTCCTGCTGCTCCCTGCAGCTGTGCTGGTGGCTGCTCCTACTGCTGCTGTGGTGCTGCTGCAATCAAACAGCTTCCAAAGTAGTGTTGGTGTTGGTGTTGGTGTTGGACAGCCTCTCTGCCCTGACGCGCTCCCCCTTGCGTCTGCCGGGGTCGGCGGATTCCCTGGCGCGCTCCCCCTTGCGTCTGCTGGGGTCTGCTGCTGCTTCTGCTGCTGCTGCTGCTGCGGCTGCTGCTGCGGCTGCTGCTGCTGCTGCCACTGCACAAAAACACAGCCACACGGCCCAGTAGTAGTAGTAGTAGTAGTAGTAGCAGTAGCAGTAGTAGCAGTAGTAGCAGTAGTAGTAGCAGTAGTAGTAGTACCTCTTCTTCCCTTACGCGCTCCCCCTTGCGTCGGCCGGGGTCGGCGGATATACATACATACACATACACGACATACACACATATATTGTCATTTTCCAGTGGCAAGAGACTGACCATGCTCAACGCCTAACATGGGACCGGGAAGCATGGTCCTTTTTTGTTGCAACTGTTGAATTGCCGTAACTCGGGCTTGTCACGGCCAACAGTGGAATTCCTTCTTGCCGGACATGACCGTATGATATACATATATATATATTATCATTCCAATCAGGGTTTGCCGGGAAATGATAGCGGATTTGGGGGTACCCAATTTTCAGACAAATCCACATATTTTTAGGTATCCCAAAGATGTCTGCATGATTTTTGTGACTTCACCAGCTTTTTGTACCTGAGAACCGGACTGATGCTCGATCATTTCCCAGGTATGCAGTCCTCTACGACTCGAGCAAAGCTGCTTTCCTACAGGGCGCCTTGGATTCTGTCAAAAAAAAGTACACCAAAATATATCTCCTCTGCCCAAGTTTATCATTTGGAGAGTATATACAACCAGACCTAAAAACGGGAAAAAAAGTGGTAAAAGGGGGATACTGGGACAGTTTCTGTTAGTATGTTGCCTGTTCTGGTTTTTATGTTCTTGTTCAATCTTTCTTCCTTACCTTTGATGTTTTATGCGCTCGGGATTTTGGGACATTTTTGCCCTTAACTTTCACTTGATGTTTTGGTTTGAATGAGGGGATAATTGTTGAGTTCGATAGACTTTTCGTTAATCATAATTTTTCGGTCTTGCCTTGTATTGTTCTTCCATATATTTTTTGTGTTCCGCTCGTGCACTTCCCATTGGCTACAACTTCATCCGCTACCTCATCGTTTGTTGCGTCGGGCTGCTCAGACGGTCAGTTTTCTGTCTTTGGTGTGATTTGGAGATTTTGAGCAGGGCATGGTTCGCACAAGTGCGTTGAAGTTGCAAGGACTTCTGCAGCTGATTTGGCACAAACATAATGTAAAATGTAATGCAAATTCGATCATTTGGTAGCCGCTTGACTTGCAGGGCATGAAGCGACCACGTCGCTCGTTGCTGCTTGGTTTGCTTGTTTTGGTGTGCTCAATGCCGCAGGGCTTTGCGCCACCGCCGGCGGTCGGAGTAGGCCATCGGCAAAGCCTTCTTGCTACATTGCCCATCCACTTGGGTGGTCAAGAGGCTACGGCTCAAACCTTGAGCATTGAAGGAACAAAAATTGACGCAGGGACAGCCATCAACATCAGCTTATAACTGTTGCAGGCACTCTGTTGGCGTCATCCACAGCCTTTCTTGGCTTTGCTGTGACTGCTCTGAAAGAAAGCACCCAGACGCAGGTGACTGCTCTCAAAGAAAGCACCGCGTCGCAGGTGACTGCCATTGAGAAGAGGGTGGAGGCTGTCGAGACGAAGGCTGACATTCAGTTTGAAGCCCTCACCAAGAAGATTGACGCCCTCACCAAGAATGACGAAGCCCTCAGCAAGAAGATTGACGCCCTCACCAAGAATGACGAAGCCCTCAGCAAGAAGATTGACGCCCTCACAGCTTTGTCAAAAAAACGCCGGTTTTGGAGACCGTGACCACAGTTGGCTGTTGTCAAAAATACTGTGTTGCTTGGGGGCGGGCTTTGTGTGTGAGACTTGCAGAAACAAGGTTTGGAACAACAGGTGTTGTTTTAAAAGGTGAAGGGGTGGTTCAGCTTGCTCTTTCAACACCCCTTTCCCAGTGTAGATAGCAGTTTAGCACAGACGGTATGCTTCCGAAGCATAGGTGGTATGCTTCCATAGCATAGTGGTAAGCTCCCAGAGCATGGGGGTATGCTCCCAGAGCATCAGGTTTTTCCATTGTTTTTTAAAAGAGAATAAATATGCTCTTCCAGAGCAGAGGTGGATGCTCCCAGAGCATACGGGGATGCTGTTAGAGCATATGCTGGTAGGAGGATGCTGTTGGAGCATAGGGGGTATGCTCTCAGAGCATTGGTTACCACCCATCACCCCGATTTTCTCTGTTTTCATCCCGACAGTGATGAAACTGATGTCATCCACGCCGTGCCAAGGTTGAGAAGACAAAACCAACTATGACTTCTTAAAGGTTCATTCCGTCAATGGTTCAACACATGTTTTGGATGAAAAGTTCAACCAGAAAATGGAAGGAATGACCCTGCCAAAAAGTAAGCAAGAACTTGACATTATGATTGACTACTTCAACCATTTTTTGAATGGGGGGATTTCCCAAACCCTTGGGGTGTATAATCATACATATTCGTTCATACCCATCACACATACACACCCTCATACTATAATATATGTATATATCCCCCAACCCCTTTGTTCATCCTGTCCTGTCCGTTCAGAAGGGAAGACATCACCGACTACGTCCGGAGCCCTCTTCATGTAAGATTTATATATAGTTATATAGAAAAAAAAGAGGACACTGGGAGGGAGCGACACGCTCTTTCTGCGGAAGTTTCCAGCACATCTCCCAGTGGTCATGATCTAAATATGTATGGTGAGATTGGATGACATTTTTTTGTTTTATTCTTTATTGAACCATTGTTCATGATGCTCTGCTGATGCCGGTTATTATTTTTCTGCTGATGATGCGCTCCCACACCAAAAAAATATCTTTTTTGACTGGAAAAACCTTTCCGCACAATCTGACATAAAAAAAATCTATGAGACTTTCCGCACAATCTGACATAAAATCTATGAGACATTCACCACAACATCCGACATAAAACCCTAAAATACTTAAAGACAAATCGCCTTATGTAATTAAGATTTGATATGCCCTGCTATTTAGTAATTGATGGAAAGAAGCAAAAAATGGATGAGGACATCTTTGACCAGATGGTTGAAGCACTCCATCCACCCACAGTCCAAGAACCCCCAATCCAAACCTCTACAAGATGGCAACCCGACGGAACTTATGACAAGAAACCCAACGACCCAAACTACTTCTCAAAATACTATCAAAAGAAATTATCATCCCCTTTCACCTGTCCCGACTGCGGACGGACAATTTCGTCCAAATCCAATCTATCAAAACATCGTCAAACCAACATTTGTATGAGGAAAAAATGCCAGTGTTAATCATCCATTTTTTTTTCAATAACAATCATTTTTATTGAGAAGGTTTTTATGTTGAGTTCCAACCCACTTCCCAGAAATTCCAACAGGCAACCAAAGCCCAAAAACTACTTAAAGAAATATTACCTTATAAGGTTAGTAGGAAATGGCAGAGGATACAAGGTTGAAACATTCAACAGAGAGGTTCTATGTTAAACATAAATCTGACAACCAATCCAATCAACCGCAACATCCTCATCAAACAATTCACATTGAAAAACTACTTAAAAAAACATCCACTAATAATAATATAGAATATACTATAATGGACACTTCACAGCAGATTGTTTTAGATTATCTTTTATCATCCGAAAAGGGTGAGATATTGAAACGGAATGGGCAAGAACTCAAGAAACTCAAGATTGGAGAGAAGACCTACAACTTTGAAAGGGGGAACCATTTCAAAGAGGTTGATTACCAAGTTCAACAAGATTAAGCAGACTATGGACTACAAAAAGTATGAACTGAAAGAGAAGAGAGGCATTAGATGGGTCAATCTGGACAAGAACAAAGCACTCACAGGCATTCAAATGAGATACAAAGCAACCACCACCAACGAACAATCTGCTTTCAAAGGTTATGTCAATTCGTATGCCATCACTAACATCAGGGTTAGAGGCATAAAGGCACTACAGTATCTCAAATATCAAGATTTGAGGTTAAAAGAGTATTTGAGGAAACATAATGGAATGAAGGTTATGCTACAGGTCTTCGCCACTTTGAAGAGTAAAAAGACTAATGAAGATGTAAGACAAGTCATCAAGAGTAGAAGATACAACATCACCAACGAGGGTGAAATACCCAATGTTCTTAATCAGATGGCAAGTGATGTAGAGCACCAAGCGGAAGTGATGGAAGTGTTGGAGAGTGGATTAGTCATAACCCAGATTGATAAACTGAAGTTCAACTATGACAAATACAATCCAACTCGTGGGGGTAAGTTCATTCCATTACCTAAATGGGTTTCAAACAAAAAAGCCTGTATCAACATCAAAAATCAAGATGAAAAGTGTTTCAAGTATTCCGTTCAATGTGGTATATGTAAGGTTTATGAAAAAGACCACCCCGAAATGGGTGTCTCACTACAAAAACCTCAAAGATGAACTGAATTGGGATAATGTCAATTTTCCGTCATCAGATGTTGATATAAATACATTTGAAGAAAACAACGGAGGGAAAGTAGCAGTGAATGTTTATTTTATTGACCCCGAAGAAGGGAAACAGTCCATCCTACTTTACAGACAGACCAAGGTTCAAAGAGCAACTCATCAAATCAGTCTTCTAAAACTGCAGGATGGGGATGATAACCATTATGTATTCATCAAAGATTATGACAAGTTGATAGGATGTCAAACCAACAAACACAACGCAACAGTTTATCATTGCTTTCACTGCCGACACGGTTTTCAATCACAAGAACTTTTAGATGAACATAATGAAAAGGGATGTATGGCAGTTGAAGGACAACAGATACAAATGCCTAATGAAGATGACATTATGGTTTTCAAAAATCACTACAAAAAGTTGAAAGCACCATTCGTCATCTATGCTGACTTTGAATGTCTAACCACAAGAGCGGGGACAGTTTCAACTAAAGAAGTTAAGACGGATAAATATCAACATCACAGACCCTGCGGTTTTATGATAAGTGTTGTCAATAGCATAGATGGTTCATCAAAGCCTTTCCTTTACAGAGGGGCGGATTGTATGGATGTGTTCATTCAAAAGATTATTGAAGTTAAAGATGAAGTTATGGAGAAGATGAAGGAAAACAAGGAAATCATCTTTAATGCCAACAACAGGAGGGACTTTAATACTGCCACGAAGTGTTTTATTTGCGGTAAAGACTTCAAACAAGGGGACAGAAAGGTTAGAGACCATTGCCACTTTACAGGGAGATATAGGGGGTGTGCTCACGATGATTGTAATTTACAGTTTGCTATGCGTCATTATAAAATTCCAGTTTTCCTTCATAATCTCAAAAACTACGATAGTCATTTAATCAGTGAGAGGGCAAATGAACTATCAGAAAGGGGTAAGATAGACGTAATAGCCCAAAATAGTGAGAAGTTCATAACATTCGCATTCAAAAATCTTTGTTTCAAAGACAGTTTTTCGTTCTTATCATCTTCATTGGACAAGTTGGTCAAGTTGAGTAAGTATGAAGATGGACAGAAGAAACAGCATTGGCAAAAGAATTTTAAATTCAGTAAAAGAAACCCCTATGTTGAGACCGATGAGGATTTAGATTTACTTACTGACAAAGGGGTATATCCATACGACTACTTCAATTCATTTGATAAGTTCAGGGAAAAGCAATTACCCCCGAAAGAGGCATTTTACAGTAATCTAATCTTTCTGAATGTAATTTGTCGACCAGAGCCTGGTCGAAGCCCTGTGGCTTTGTGGGAGGTGCTACATATCCAGATAGCGGCGGCATCTATTCCAGACCTCCATATGCTTTTCACCTACAAGTAGGCGCCGAGAGATCCGACAGTGGGTGGTACACCCTTTTGAACAAGATGCGCACAGCAGGAACTTTTTGATCAACACCTCCATTGCTGAACAAGGTCGAATGAATCGGACTGCAAAGTACCTCAGAATGGTCCTGTGCTCAAGAAGCCACCTCTGTACTACTTGGAAGCAGTGCCCCCAACTTTTGGGTCGGATCCCATTATCCGAGTGATCAACCTGCAATAAATTGGAGCTTGCACAACACAAACAACTTCATTCAAAATGGTAAACGCCTAAGATGGCATCGTGACAGGCAGTTCCTCCTTGGTGGTGGCCTCCACCCACACTTCACCCTCAACGGCCTCAGAGGAGTTGGGGATTTATTGGTTTAGACTTTCACGGCAGCTGGATGACATTGGCCAATTACTGTGAAAGGGATTGAAAGGGATGTTCAGAACATCATTTCCCCATCCTTTCCCCACGAAATCAGATAAATCTGGCCATGAATTGGGGATATTATACGGTATGCCCTATTTTCAGACACACCCAAACACCGCAATCTCTTCACGAGGAGATTGGGCACTATCCATCGGTGATCGCATGGATGGAGGCGCTGGGGCACTGCTGGGGCAAAACCTTCACAGCATTGTGCCGAGAATGGAGCAGATGAAGCAGATGAAACAGATGAAGCAGAAGATGAAGATGAAGATGATGAGGTTGATGATGGTGATGATGATGATGATGATGATGATGGTGATGATGGTGATGATGGTGATGATGATGATGATGGTGATGATGGTGATGATGGTGATGATGGTGAAACGAGAAACAGGAGACCTTCGTCGCTGATTTCTACATGGTGGCGGGCGACTACAATGCAGATGGAAGTTATTTCGACGAGGAAAATAACATGGAGTGCAGGGGCGGGCGCCACTCAAAAGACCAGGGCAATGTTCCGAAAGCATTGCAATTTTAAAGATCAAGGGGCTTTCTTGGTCGGTCACTAAGTCTTACACTAAGACACTAAGTGCTTGATTTGGTTGCCAAAGCTATGGGCTAGGAGTGACTTGCACGTGGGCTCAGTACACGAAGACAATTGAGCGCAAGGGCAGGGGAAAGCACTTATCTAGCTTCTTGACATGTAGAATCTGCAGACCACTGAGATGAATGGTTTTTCTAAATTTGGAAGCTCAGCAACACCAAGCCTAGTCTATTCAATCTTCTAATTCCAATGTTTAATATCCAATGGCTGGGCCTCCAATATCGACATCTTGTTGGTCAACGCCAGGATACAGAGTGGACGGCCATCTTAAGCAGCATCACCAACTACACCTTGCTGACCGGGATCCTCGGGCGATTTTGAGCCAAGACGAGTGGGAAGGGTTCAGAGGGCTAGCGTTAGTACAGGTCGGTTCGCAGTTTTCTGGTTAGATTTTGGCAAAAAGATGAAGAATCAGACCAGAAACATCTGGACATAATCTAACCAGAAAACTACGAACCGACCAGAAAACTAACCAGGACATCGGTAAATGCCAGGAACGAGCTGGACACCACCTTGGCCCTGAGCAGCAACAGCTACGATCGGATTATTGCCAGTTCTAGCCTTCAGGCGGGGTCGAATTTCGCAAATTTATTGGTGGATTTTAAATGATTTACCATGATTTACCAGCAAATTTTAAGATGCGAAAATTGGATCTAAACGAAGCTTGGCAATCGTCGAGAACCAGGAGAGTGAATGGAATGTGACCAGTAACCTCAGACAAACTATCCTGGATCAGGCAGATGGAAATTGCATGAAATTGCCGTGAATGGCATCAACATGAGGCCTCGGGAACTGCTGCATACATTTTGGAGAATCACGTGAATCTCTCAGGCGGGGGTCCTTTGAGGATGCGAACTTCCTGCCCGAATGCGCCATGAAATGTGATTGCCCTTGTTGGAACCTGTGTTTTGACATG